TTCCTTTTATTCTTTCTTTGTTTCTCTCTCTTTCTCTCTCTCTCTCTCTCTCTCTCTCTTTCTCTCTCTTTTTAAACCTCTATTTTTTACCCCTTTTCTACCCCTACATAACGGATGAGAAATTCAACTTTATAACTATATTTCTGATTGTGGAATGAAATCGTTCAAAGGGAAACGTCCCTTGCGGCAATGCCCATTAATTTGATCTCTTCATTCTTTTGTCCCCTCCCTTCCTCTTTCCCCTCATCTTTCTCTCTCTCTCTCTCCCTCTCTCTCAGTCTGTCTGTTTGTCTGTCTCTCTGTCTATCCGCTTTTCTCTGTCTCTTTCTAACTCTTTTACTAATACTTATATTATTTTCTTCTTACTCGCATCAATTATCATTATGTCCTTCTTCGGAAAGAGATAAAGGGAACAAATAAATGAATAAATAAATAAGAATTAAATAAAAAGGAAATAGAAGTAAATAAATACTTAAAGAAAAATTAACGAGTAAATAAATCAAAGACGTCGTACGATTCGAACAGATGCAATAAGAAATATTTTCTATCCTTCATTGGAAGGTGATTAAAAAAGTGTAACAAACGAACGGACGCAAAAAAAAAAAAAAAAAGAAAAAAAAAGAAAGAAAGAAAGAAAGAAAGAAAGAAAGAAAGAAAGAAAAAAGAGAAATCTTTTTTGTTCTTTCGTCAAAAGGAGCTAAAAAGAACAAAGAAAATAAATAAATAAAAAAACATTATCGACATACTTATATGTATATATATATATATATATTTTTTTTTTATGTTTCTTTTGTATCCATATATTTTTTCGCTATAATATAGTTAAATAATAATTCACACATAACATTTTTATTTTTTTTATTTATCTCTCTCTCTCTCTCTCTCTCTCTCTCTCTCTTTCTCTTTCTCTCTGTTTGTATACGTATGTGTGTACGTGTGTACATCTATCCATCTTTATCATTTTGAACAAATAATAATATCAAAAGTGTCAAAAGAATGAAGAAACAACGAAATTCAACTCGTTTCATATATTCGACGTTTTTAAATATATTCGAATGATGAGCTTGGCCGAGTCGAAAAAAATTTTTTTGCTCTCGAACGCATCGTAAACTTCATAGTTTGTATCTAATTAATAAAAATCCCTCATGTCCACTTCGTGATTCGATTAACGAAATCTTTCCTTCCTTCCTTCCTTCCTTCTTTTTTTCTTGCTTTCTTTCTCTTTTTCTGTCTATTTTTCTTTTTTTTTTTTTTTTTTTTTTTTTATTTGGCATGCTTTCTCTTTCTTTCTCTCTGCCTCTGTTTTCCTTTCTCCCTTTTCGTCGTTAAAAATGTCCTTGCTTCAGAAAAATCCATTCTCCGTTGCCGGAAGTCTATCGATTACACGAAAGTCGAACTTCTCCCTTGGGTTCTCGAATAACCATCGACGAAGAAAACGAGAGAGAGAGAGAGAGAGAGAGAGAGAGAAAATCGAAGCTTACGTATACTCGAGAGAAATAAAAAATTCACTTCTCTTTCTTTTCTCTTTTTTTCTCTCAAAAACGAAAAAACAAAAACAAAACAAAACAAAAAAAAAACAGAAAAAAATATTGTCGACAAAGTAAAAAATTCGAAAATTTTGTATCGGCGGTAAATTTTGTATAGTGGTGGCGGGGCGGGGCGAGGCAGGAAGCGAAAAAAAGAAAAACGAAAAAGAAAAAGAAAAGGAAAATCTGCAAATAAAAAAGATATAAAGAAAGAAAGAAAGAAAGAAAGAAAAGAAAAGATTCCTCCGTTGACCCTTAACCCCATCCTCTTTCTTCACCTCCGTAAAGCCAAAAAATCGATCGTTACCATTCGATTCCTGAGATACGTGAAATATTAGTGTATGGAAATTCGAGTATCGAGTTCGACCACCGTTAACGTAGAAAATGGACGTGAAAATAGAATTCGCGGTGAGTGGTGGTCGGTTCGCAATTTCTACTTCGAGAATATATTTTCGAATATCCTTGAGTGAATAAATACGGAACGAATGCCGAGAACATTTCCAATACGTTCTCTTCTAACCCCCTCTTCTCACCCTCTCCCACTACCCCCTTCTTCTCTTTCTTCTCCAACCACAATTCTTCTCTGTCGTTCACCTATTTTCTGCATCAACCCTTCGGCCAATCATTCTCACAACTTCGACGACCACGACGACGACGACGACGACGACGATGACGACGACGACGACGATGACGATAATTTAGATTTGGCGCCTTCCACTGTCTTTTTTCTCCATTTTATTCTTCGAAGTTAACGCAATCTCGAATAAAGAATATTTGTTGTTTTACGACGTTTCCGATCGTAAAATATTATATATGTCTACTATGTGTTACCTATTGAATTATAGCAATAGCCAATATAAGAAATCTCTGTTCCTTGTGTATTGTACGATAAATAAAAGATGCTATCTAAAAACGATTCTTATCGAATTTTTATCGAAAGAAAATAAGAGAAATTTGAAACTTTCTCAAGAGAA